CTTGAATTATCCAGGTGCTGCCTGAGCAACAGCTCTTCCTGAAGAATTGAAGGCACAGCGGAAAGCCCTGTATGCGTCTGTGGCAACCCCGGGCTTTGAAGGCTACGCTGACACAGCTCTCTCTCTCTCTCTCTCTCTCTCTCTCCCTCTCTCCCTCTCTTCTTCTCTGCCATCAACATGGGGATATGTCGAGAGCGGTCCCTGTCTGCAAAACTTCCATGTTTTGTGGGCTCCGAAATCTCAGGACCCCACAAGGTACGGGCTGCGACCCTCCACCAGGGGCGATGCTCCAGCCGGCATCTGCTCCAGCGGCTCCAACACCTGTGCCTCGGATCTACTGAAAGACTTGAAGGTTTTATACAAAATCCCATGGGCTCTCTCAAACAGGAAGCCAATTGAACTGCAACCCTGAAACCCTTGCAAAACACGAAACATCAAGTCTCACCGGCAAACCATTGTGCGTGGAAGGCAGTCATGGTTCTTACCATCCTACAAGTGTACCATAAATGACCGTTCGTTCTTGGCCCGAAACGCAGTCGTTTGTTTGACCATGGCACACATGCCGGAAAAGACCATTTCATCATGCAGCTCAGCCGCTGCGGAATGTTGCAGCAAGTGGAGGTCTTGCTCCTCGAACACATCTGCTGTAGCCGCAATGCAATCCTTGGTATCAGCGCAAGCTTCCGCATATCCACCAGATTTGAACATGGCCCAACCCTGACGAAGGCTCTGCAAAAATAACTCAACCACTTTGCTAGTGTCAACAATTGTTTCCGTTTGACCTACCTCCACCCAATTAACATGGAGGCTGACAGGTGCCTTTGAAAGGAAAATGGTCAATTGGTGGCAGGGTAATCCGTCCTTGCTCCAACCAGGTTTGCGGGAAGCACTCTGGCGCTCTGTTCCCACGGTTCCAAGACATCAAGGGCCTTCGCAGCTGGGCGGCGTTGTCGCCAGGAGTACACACAGCTGCTTGCTCGAATCCAGCAGTCGAGCGGCAGAGCAGCACTAAGAAGGCAGGAAAGCCAAGATTCCTCAATCCAACAACTGCAGTCTGTGACTATTTGCCATCCCTCAAACTGTCTGTTTGTGTTTCCCTTTCACAATCAAGACGGGGGATGTATTGTTGAGATGCAACTACATGGAATCTCTCAATGAACAGCTGCATGATAGTCCGATAGAGGCGCGTCACCCGTGTTAGTCCAAGAGGCATTCTACCGCTCAGCATTCCTTGAGCAGCTCCGACATGGACCGCGCTTTGGGCGTCAAAAAAGTCTTACTGAGCCACATGGCCACGGGTAGCACGGCCGCTGTCAGCATCAGTTTGTACGCCGAACTGAGCGACTCCAAAGTTCTGATGGTGACAACGTTGTTTGTGGGGAGATCGTGAATATCTCATGACATGAGCCTCGCGAGACTCTGTCCCGCGGAACATGGCCAGCTCTGACTACTCATTTCTTTGCAAGCCAAACAGATTGCACAACATGCTATTCTGAATTCACACTCAACGCAAGAGGGAGCAATGGCTACTGAATTCTGACTCGACGTTGAGAGATGGGTACTGCATTCTGTCATTCCGCCTTCAAACTTCAGCAACCACTTCTCGGCACAGTGAGCCGTGCCTTGAGCTCGTCCAGCCACGTGTCGATCCATTGGAAAGCCTCCTGGAAGAGTCGCCCTCAGCCGCGTGGCCGGTCACCACCCCCAAATGGTGGGGGTGCAACATGCCATGGATTCAGCAAAGAGGAAAAATCCCATGGAGCTCACATCCTGCAACCTTTTGATTACCAACGCCTAAAGCCGCACGTGAAAGCCACTCGTCAGCGCCATTGAAGGAAGTCAATCCATCAAACGCCAGTGGCTCATTTTTGCGCCGCGAGTCACTTGTTCAGCCAAAGCTTGCAACCGCAAACCTCACAATGCTTGCCCGGCTGGTCGTCAACCTGGAAGCTATAGCCCATGTGAGGTGGTTCTGTGTGGAGCGCCGGCTGCCAGTCTGCCAGTGTGTCCTGCCAAGCGTTCCAGCGAGGCGAAGACCTGCGCCTCGTCTTCAGTCAGCGGCATCCCTGGACGGCTGACCCGAATGTCAATCAGCGCAAAGTGCCCCCCCTTGGTGTCCTTGGCAGATCCATTATGGCGTAGCGTCGGCTGATCTCGTAAGAAGTCTCCTGCGGATGTAGCCGAGCTTGCGCCTGACGGCCCAAGTTCTCCAATCCACGCAATCCCTGCCAAAATCTCATTTAGGCCAACCAGGCCCTTACCCAATTTCGCATATCGGGCCTCTCTGAACCTTCGCCTTGCTTGCTCCGGGCGGACTGGCTCTTGCGCTGTGCAGACACTCCTGCCAGCTTGCAGCACAACCCTATAACATCTGGCTGTGGGTCACAACCCTGCCTGGTGAACATCAAAACAGGTGGCAAATGGATGTTCATCCACCCCAAAATGGGATCGCCATAGGCTATGCCCCATGGCCATCAAAGAAACAAAGGCACCCTGTCCGCTCAACGGAACAAGACCTGTCACCCGAATCTCTGCCAGGCCCAGTAGTCCCGCACTCCTGCCGTATCTGTCAAGGAAACGAACTCTGTGCTGTGAGCTTTCAGCAGCAACTCCGTGAGGTAGGCCTCCTTCTGAGCCAATCCTGGAAGGATTTTCCGGTTGGCACCAAATTATTCCTGCCTTTCAAACAGAACAAGCAAGCAGACGCAGTGAAGTCGGCCGCGTCCTTCCAGCTGCAGCCAGTCATAGAAGGGCACATGCGCAACGCGGATGCCTGCAGCTCAGTGCGGGGACAGGGTGTTCGGTGTTCTTCTGGTCCCCTTCTGACTCCCCGACTTCCGCTTTATGTCTGGTCTGCATTTAGCTCATGAGTCGCTGCCCTGCCGAAAGCGTCCTCCCCAGAATTAGGCTGTCGAAGGTCTCGCAATCACCGAAGCTGTTGCTTTGAGAACTATGGACTGAAAGGAGAACGCAGTTTGCTTCATGTGAGTGAACAATATGGAGCAGAAGTCACATCATGAGCTCGAAAAAAACGAAAAAGTAAGCTCACTGCATATATGAGAATACCCCTGCCCGCCCCCATTTGTTTGTCTCCCCGATATTCCAAGGCACGCATCGCGGTCAGCAAGCGGTGCCGCAACTTGGAGGTGGACGTCCAGTGCCAGGGACGCCCATGAGGCCTGCACTGACGAACAACCAGCCGCTTTTGTGCTCACAGGAAGCCGAGGCAACACTTGGGAGGGGGCCGATTGGTTCGTTCTCCCAACAAACAGTGACGCGGCTATCATCGACCACAGCAAGTCAATTCAAAGCCAAGGACTGATACGACGCAGTTCAATGGGAAGTCGTCAAGCGTATTCATCTACTCACAAAATGTGTCGGCTCGCAGTCCTGTAGAAATGCGACGGGCCATCTGCCTGCCGCATGCTCGGTCACTCACTCATGCAACTCAGGCAGCAAAGTGTCAGCTGCCCCTTTCACGGGTCGACTTCCCTTTGTTGGGAACTTGCTTCTGGTCTTGGCCTGCCAGCAACTCTGATTTTCTAATCTTGCCCAGCCTCAACAGCCACACAAAACCTGGCCAGTGAGCGGCCAGGCTTGTTTTCATCCCAGCCATCAGGCTCCTGCGAAGCAATGCCCATATGAGTTGAAACCAGTTCGGGAGGAAGCGAGGGAAACCAAACATGAGGAGGTCGCAATGTTTGCCACCACACACACACACCACAAGAAAGCTCATGTTGCAACTGCCTTGCCACTCTCCAAACACCTTGCTCAGGAATCTCTTCTTTGTCAGACCTCCTCCATCTCATCCTGGCTCACTGCAGCAAAGTCCAGCAGGTACCTAAGAATCACATCAGCAGCGAAGCCCAGCAGCTGACAAATGCATGAACTGTCGCAAAACATCAGGTGGGCACTGATCAATGTTTGCGAAAAAAGAATGCATTCACAAATCCTTCGCGGCTCCAACATGTCCTCGAAACACTCCTCACTGTGAACAAAGTGCGGCAAGTCAACTTTCAAGCATAAGCTGCTTGGCAGCTCGGTTTGCGTTGCGTACCCGTGTACCCAATCCTCCGAGCCGCGACATGCCTCACACCCGGCCGGGCTGCGGGCCCACCTCCACCTCCGGGCGGTGGTGCCAGGAGATGTTTTGGGCCACCATGGACACCTCGTCCGCGAAGGCGGACTCCGCCCTGGGCTCCGGCGCGCCCACGGCGGCCCGCACGCTGAAGAGCCACCGCGCCGCCAGGCCGCCCAGGTCCTGCAAGCCCACCGCGGCGTGGCCCAGGCCTCGGCGCCAACTTGATTGTCCCGTTCAAGCAAAGACAAGTGACCAGAAACGCGCAGAAAAGCCCTGATTTGTTCGTTTCCCGTTTCCTGTTGCTCCAAACAAGAGAGAGAGTCCCCCAAAAAAAGATCCTGTTGCCACCCCCTCATGCGCGCATGTTCTGCGCATTTGCGGCAAAGCAGCGCAGGGCCATCTCGAAGGTCTTCACCTGGTAGAGCGCCTCCTGCGGCAGCTTCTCATCCGACCTCAACAGCTCCTGGCCAACGAGACGCGAAAAAATCGGCGCGCAAAATAGAATGGAACCACGACAACCAGGCGAAAGGATGGTTGGGTGTCTTTGAATTATTTGGATGGTTGGGCATCTTTGAATTATTTTGATGGCTGGCTTCTTCGGATTATTTGGATGGCTGGCTTCTTCGGATTATGTTTCAACGAGCCAGGGGTCACCCAAGCTTCCGATATGCCCTCTACATCAGCCAACTCTGCACTCCCTTCCTGCACGATGCGCCGCTGCAGATCCTTCTCCGGCAGGGCGAAATAGCCTTGAGCTTAAGCACACAGCAACAAGGATCTACGCTAGGAACAGCAAGCTTTGGAGCAAGAAAAGAGCGCAAACACAGATCACGCCTGTTTTCAAGGCAGCCAGCCAAGGACAGCCGTGCTGCTTTGTGCACTGACACCTAAGCCCTCCAAAGATATGCAGCTGTGCGGCTCATGGCAAGCAACAAGTTGGCGGCGGTCTTGTGAGGCAAATTGGCAGAAGCCTCGTGCACACGTGAGCCATGCTGAAGCTTGCCGGAAATGACAAATCAAAGACTTCCCCGCATGTCCACAGTTGAATTGGCAACTCCCAAAGCCGGGTCTGCGCTTTGCAGAATCATTGCAGCTCAGCGGCTCCATTGGCTGTCACGTCACTATCCCCTGTCTCAAGGAGCAGAAGCCGGCGCAGCCTGCGCAGGATAGAACCTATGTCGAGACCTTCCTAGGCTACCTAGGATGGAGCATAGGAGTGCTCTTAGGATACTTAAGCTGGAACCTACGACACAGGGTACCCCTGGCAACACATGACCCTGCCTCGAGCAGACAGAGCTTGCGACGTGCTCGTCCCAAATGTCCAGTCTGTACAACCTGGGCGTCACACACCCACCGAGAGAGCAGCATGGGATTCGAGCCATGGAGATCCTGACACGGCATTGGAGCCCTGCTTTTGGGCTTTTGAGATTGAGAGATGGCTGTGGTGGTCAAAACCGTTTTGGGATCCCATTTTGGTTGGTAGGTGAATTCACCACCCATTTTAGAACCTATTTTAGTGGGGTTGGTGATGTTCACTGGGGGTACGATTTGGGACCCATGGCCAAATGAGGAATGCAATTCCTGGCCATTCCTTTGTGCCGAAGAGCTCGTAGAGAATGCTGCCCAGCGATGTCACGCTCAGCCCATCCAATTCGTCCAGGCTCCTTGGGTTGAAAGCGCACAGAAGAAGGGTCTCTGAAACCCACTCCACATGTCATAACCTAGGGATACTTGGAGCCCCAAAAACATGAGGCACCCAAAAAAAACACACACCCACCCACCATGCCAAATACCCTGTTTTTTGGCCACACACACCCACACCCACACCCACCACCCACACCCACCCACACTCACCCACACCCACACCCACCACCCACACCCACCCACACCCACCCACACTCACACTCACCCACACACACACACACCCACACCCACACCCACACACCATGACCGAACTCCCCCCCCCGTTTTTCTTCCGCCCGCTTCGTGGGCCGAGGAGCTCCAGGAGAGGCGTCAGCACCTCCGGCAAGCGCCAGCGGAGCCGGCCGAAGGCCTGCAGCAGCTTCAAGCGCTGCTCCAGGCTGAACCTTCCGTCGCGCCGTGGCGGAGTTTGATCGGTAACTGATCATGGGCCCATGGGTATTCCGAGTGGCTATTGATCATTGGTGATATCTAGTGGAATTCATTGGCAACTGCTCCAATTCGTGGCTGATGTCGGGTATGGGTAACTGTTCCAAGTAGTGGCAGGTAGTGAGCATTGGTAACTGATATTGGTAACTGATATCAACTGGTGCAATTATTGACATTGAACCCAATAGGTGATATCAATCGTAGGTGATATTGATCATTGGCGTTTTGGCAGATACTGTTCCAATTTGTGGGGGGTATTTCGCCTAATGGCGATTCTCAGCTTTTTTTACTTGCTCAACCCAAGTTTGGTTGAAGCGAGCATCAGAGCTGGTCGTGGCTCCAGTGGCGCCACATATTCACACAAAGCGCGGCCACTACGAGACGACCCTCATCCAAGCACAATTTCTGAGACGCCAAAGTCAAAACCCCCGGGTTCCTCTTTCAAGTCTTCCCTCACGCAATGCGCG